AATTTATGGAAAGAATCTTAAAAAAATAAAATTTAAAGTTAACCTGAGACCTGAGAACTAAAGATAGTGTAACTAATGAAATCTACTAATTGTTTCTTCTAGCTGAAAATGAAATTGTTGCCACAACGAGGAAAATTTGAGCACAAATTACCTAGATATATCATATATACTATATATATATATACACATTATATGTGTGTATACTATATATATACTATAGCTATACATCTCTGGACTATATTTTTAGGTGTGGTACTATGAAACAGGTGAAAGATATGGGTCCTGTCATAGTCCAAAGAGTCACAGGAAAACAAAGACACACAGGGATGGGAGTGGGATAGGGAATCACAGTGCAAGTATAAATAATAAGTTAAACTAGATCAGTGTATTTTGAATACTGCTATTCACATGTTAACTGAGCCACTTATATAATTTCATTAAATACCAGTCACAACGTCCCTGATGTCTCGGAATCTGCCAATTGACCATTCTATAACTGTGCAGAGTTTTTGCCCCCAAAAGGTTTCATTTAGTCACTCTTATATGGCCTATAAAGTTATATAAATTTTATCTGTTACACAATGCCATGTGTTAAGCATGCAAAACATTTCAAGCACTAGTAAGAAAAGACACAAACGAATCAAATTACACAAGGCCTGTTATATTCACCTCATAGATCAAAACACTGAGTGAACGCAGAGGTGACCATGGCAACCTTTGCTAGTTAGATACCGAAATGGAAAGTAGGGATAAACTACATCATTCTTATGAGTGTCTGAAGATGTAGCTGTATTCTAGAGACTTCTATTTTCACTAGGCTAGGATTGTATTATTTTTAAAGAAAAGAAAACTATAACCTATTAAAATTAGTTGTACTTTTCTCAGATGCTTTACTGAAAAAAATCTCTCAAAGTGAAATATGAATTGTAAGTCATTTTTCATCTCTGTGTTTTGGGACATAAAATCATAGATGAAAGAAGTGGAAACATCAACATTTAAATTATTAATCTTTACAATTTAGAAATTATATACGTTGTAAAATATTTACATTTTTACAACCGTGTGCATTATAAATATTACAGTTCAAGAGAAAAACCTATTTCAATATATTTGACCTCCCCCTCATGGTCATTTTTCTTCGTTGTCTAGCCCGAGGTCAGATAAAGCCACACTGTTTACTCGGTTGTTTTCTGGAAAAAACAGAAACCAGAAACCTTGGAAACAGAAAACTTGTAAGCCCACTTGCTTTCAGCCATTAAAATTTGATCTTTAGATGAGTTTAGGCCATGCCTGCAAAGAAAGCTTTGAAAAGATATGCCCCACCCA